CTTTCCCGCTGCGAGTCAATGAAATGATGTTGTTGTTGTTGTTGAAGCTGTCGGCGCCAGCAGTATCTACTACCATATGAGTGCTTGCATGAAGCGCTTGTCTCTGACTTCCATGCAGAGACCTTCAATGGTTTCGTGAGGCGAAGAAGAAACCAGTAGAAGAGAAAGTCAGCAAAAAGACGCAGGCGTTTCTTGATGGCAGCCCCAAGTTACCAGAAACTCTGGGCATCTGGGGTCTTTCAGGAGATTCTGGAAAAGAACCGCCAGAAGGAAATGGAGAAGATACAGGCAGATGGTGGAAGTTTTTTGTCGGCGTATGGTCGGAGACTCTCGCAGGCGTTGGATGCGCAGCAACTTGCAGACTGGGAGAAGCCAGTGGATGCTCTGGCGGAGGAGCGCGGTATGTACTTGCTGAATTTGCTGTGGTTTGCCACTCTTTTCAGGCCCCGGATGTGTCGAAACTCGAGAAGGCGGGTGAAGCCGTCCAACTGTGCTGCAGCTCGTGGGTTGCATTCCTCCTGACTTTCCTGACTCATAACTGAGCAGGACCTGCTAGATTTGCTGATCGGATTCAGCCGAGTCGTGCCAAGGCTCCTGTGCTCACAAAATGGATTCGCAAGTGACAGACAGCGGCACCTGGCAGTTTCGTCGGCTTCCCCGCGCTCTCCAATGCGTTCAAGACACCAGAGACGCAGGTGTTGGTCATCGTCAAGGTGGGCCGAGCAGGTAGCGCCACGATATTTGCGCGAGAAAGAGCTTTGCATTACTTGCAGGCAGTGAAGAACCTGCGGATCGTATCGGCCTCGCTGGTGAACAGTTTCAGATCTTGAGTCGGACCTAGGACTCTTTGTGCGATTTGCAGGCCTTGAAGAAGCTGCAGCTGGACAGGCTGCCTGCAGAGGCTCAGCCCAAGGTCATATGGCAAGAAATGAAGTTCTCAGATCTGGGTGTGGGCCAACTTCAGCAAGTGCAGAGACTTCTACGTCACAAGCTATGTCCGATGTTGGTTGTTCATGCCGCGAAGAGAGCGTTCAGAAAAGGTGGGTGATGTGACAATATGTAGATTGTGCGGCAAGTACCAGCAAGGTGACAAGCCTCGTCGTCTACATCTACTGCCTTGTTCAGGAAGCATGGAACTCCTATGGTATCTTGGCAGGTCGTAAGACTGACAGTGATTGACTGATTCGTTTCATGTGTTTGACGTGCCCTTAGTCATGTTTCCTCGAGGCAAGAAAGGCCTCCTGGACGGGAAATGCAGCGCCCGCAGATCTGAGAATCGCATGAAAGGCATCCGCGGGGCGCTCTGGGGACCTGCAGCGCGTTTTGGCTCTCGAGGGTGAGTTCGTAGGTGTTCGCCATGGCAAAGGCCGGCCCGCCGGCCTAAGGCTGCAATGAGGGCAGATGCCGGAACCCTCCTGGGCTGCCAAGGCACAGCTCCTTGGCTCCAGGAGCGGCGCAAGCTGCAAGCTACTGCGAGCTGAAAGCGTTCACACACCCGCCATTCCCCCCCCCCCCCCCCCCCCNNCCCCCCCCCCCCCCCTCCTTCGTGATACCAGGCAGCTGGTGGCTCAAACTCGACATCGCTTGGAAGTCGAGCCTTGGCTGTGCAGCAGAGTTCCAACAGAGACCTGAGAAAAACAGCGAAGTGAGTGGAGACTGGGTGCCTCAAGGAGGAGCAGTTTGACGAATATGCGGAGGAATTTGAAGACCACCTAGTCAACACCTTGGAGTACCACCTACCCGAGGCCGGGAGAGGATGTGAAATCGCGTCGAAACCATGCCGGTGCCGGCAGGTCATCGCATCAAAAATGGCCAGCTTCGGGAGACGATTTCCTTGCTGCATGGACCTGGGTTGTGGTACTGGCCTTTGTGGCCGAGCTTTGAAGGCATCCGTGCAGATCGAGAAGTTGATAGGCGTCGACCTGTCAGCCTCTTGTCCGCGAGTTACCGAGTACTGAGTGGCAGCCGTGCGGGGCTTCTGCGGGGCTTCGAGGCTGGCATGTTGGCCCATGCCCGCGAAGCAGGCGGATACGACGAGCTGCTACAAAGGGATTTGATTTCTGTGCTAGGGAGCCAGGAGGCTGCGAGTGTGGACCTCTTGGTGGCTGCTGACGTGCTCATTTACGTTTTGCAGCTGGACAAAGTCTTCCTGCAAGCTCACAGGGTGCTGCGCAAGGATGGCATCTTCGTTTTCTCGACGGAGACAGCATGCGAGGCTGAATCTTCCGAGGCCGCCTAGATGGCAAGGGCAGAGATTACCGGAAGGGCCAGAGGGAAAAGCCGTAGCAGGCGTAGCTACACGAAGCATGCAGACGAAGTCCTTACTTCAGAAGTTGCCTCGCGCTTGCCCGGGCAGGGCACGGTTCAGAGAGTGTCCGGCCGATACGCTCATACTCGATCCTTCATCGCAGCGACTGCATCGCATCTCTTCGCGGTCCTTGAAGTAGAGACCATTCCTCTTCGGATTGTCGTGGCCCTAAACTGATCGTCAAAGCTGAGTGTCTGTTCAGCTTCAGCATTCAAAGCTGTACGCCCACCTGCAAACAAGACAAGGAAGATGACCTTCCTCTGCAGGGTGATGTGTTCGTGCTGCAGCGGCTGCCGCCTGAAGTTGGCAGCTGTGGAGACGTGGACCATTGACGTGCTGGGACAGCTTGGAGGGTGGTTGCACCAGGCAACGCATAGATCTGCGACAGCTCTAACGAGCCACCGGCGATCAAACTGGCATGCGCGGCATGTGCCGAAAAAGATGAGTTGCCACGAGCTCACCGTACAAGGCTCTCTAAGATTCTCGGTGACTTGCGGCCCGATGCTGGCATAAACGAAGGCATCAAGCTGTTCCAAGAGCTCTTGATTTCTCTGGGCTTCCGCAGCAACGCACAAGGTTGCTTGAAGGCATTCATTTCTTCTAAGCCTGTTCAGCACAATGTGTAGCTCACTCAAGGCCTCTTTCGGCAGTGGAAGGAGGCATTGCATTTGCATTTGCCATTTTGGTCTGTCGTGCATGTGTCTCAACTGCCCTGTTTTGCTGCATGGCTGTTCTTGATAGGTTCAAGCATCACTTGGAAAGGAAGAGGGTGCTCCAGAAGATGGCGAGAAGGGCAAGGACGGGAAGGACTGGGGCCTTTACCGTTGCTGGCTTTGGCTTTCCTCTTTTTGCCTTTGTGTGTCTTTGGCTTTGTAGCACGTAGTGTGCACAGTGACAAGTCCTGCGATCGACGCATGTGCCGCATCTAATCTACCCTTCCGACCGGTGCCGCAAATGCCGAGTAGAGACATTGCGCATAATCTGGAGGATGATTGCACATGGAGGCAGCGACTATGCGACGTCTTGTCACTACGTCACCTCTCAAATCGCAGGGTTTCTGCAGTGAATATGAAGCTATCCTTGCAACAGAGCTTCTGGCCCCACATTCGACCCAAAGGCAAAGTGTTTTACTCACCAACTGAATCTTTGGACTGCGTGGACGTCTTTTTCATTGTGTTGCCTTGCAGTACGCGCTATGCTGGTCCACTCTCCGCCACCACCCCTCCCTAGCCTAGTGTACTTGGAGGGGGGTGTTGCATCGATGTCTGGGGGTTCGAAGTACATTTCCCTCAGTTCCGATGGATCCCAGTAACTTTGTTTTCCGTGGGACATTCCAGCTGAGATAATGTACTTGGGTCTTCGGTCATGGACCCCCGGAGCAAGGAACAGCAACGCACAATGTACTTGAGGGGGTAGTGTCGACGCTGCTTACTTTCAGTTGGACAAGCCAAGACCGTGGGATTCAGCTTAGAAAAGATCCATGCACTAAAGCTGAAACCCGCACGTGAACAATCTTTAAGCTTTAAGCGAGTGCCATGCTTCGCCCTGCACGTGGACGTATTGTGCTACTGCGAAGAACACGTCACTTGCCCTTTTGCTGTTTCCCAGTGCAGCCTGGCAGGACAAGAAAGGCAAGGAGAAAGACGACAAAAAGGCGGCTCAGCTCTTGTCAGCCTCCTGTTGCCGGCCACTGTGTCAGGATAAGAAGAAGGAAAAGGACAGGATGTCTCAGCATTGTCGGATTCCACACAGCCAGAACAGTGCCCCAGGAGAAAAAAGACAAAAAGGATTCCAAGGACTCCAAGGACGATCCGTAGCTGTGCTTGCGAAGCTGCGAAAGCGAGAACTTCAAGCTTTTGCCTGCAGCACTCCCTATATTTCTCAACCTCTTCAAAGCACCGAAGCTGATGAACATGCAGGAGGATCCTTTCGATTCCTTCGAAGTCAAGAAGGAGGCAGATCCAACTGTGCGCCGCTTTGCCTTTGTCTGCCGGGCCGAGAGCGATGATTCGGTCGTTGGCAGGTGGAGCTTTGCTGGTCCGGTGTCGGCAGCGATGAGTATGCATTTCAGTTACTCCACTATGTTCTGGGGACGGTCCGTGGTTAAGTGTTTGTGGCCCGAATGCTGGAGTCTTAGTTCGCTTCGTCAAAGGTTGATGTACATGGGCCCGCAGATGACACGTCTCGTTGGCACAGCCAAGGCAGTTTTGGATGCGGTGCTAGGGAGCCGACAAAGCCTCTGCAACATCCTGCGTTGAAGGATCCAAAGGAGCGTGTCAACTTCAAGCCGGACAAGTGGCAGAGGGACCTGCACAAGCGCCAGTAAAGGTTCATCTCGGACGTTTCGAGCACCGGAAGTTTCCGAGCAGGACTTGCTAGACATCGTGGACGATGACGAGTCAGCCTTGGTTACTCGGGTGCAATTGGTGCCATCGCTTTATGTTACGCAAGGTTTCAGAGTTCTCCATGGGTGCCCTTTCGACCGCTGGAGCCACCAGGTCGTTGCGCCCACAGCAAGCGGCAAGACCTTCATTGGCTACTATGTCATGGATAAGGTACCGAGATGCCAGAGTCTGCCAGAGGTGGGCCGCTGAAATGAGAGCCGCTCGCGCAGGTCCTCAGAGAAGATCACGACGGTGTTGCTGTCTATGTGGCTCCATCGAAGGCGCTTGTCAACCAGGCTGAAAGTGCGTGTGTGTGTGTGTGTGTGCGCGTCTCTGTGTGTGTGTGTACATCCCTGAAGCCAAGGGCAACGATGCATGCATATTGGAAAAAGCAGGGGGAGCAGCGTCAAGCATGTTGTTCGCTGCCCAACGAAGACGGCAACATGTTTCAGTGATATGAAGAAGGGATGCCTTCTTCACGTACCTGCAATTTTTCAGTGTGTGGCATGGGGCCAAGCCAAGAACCTCAGTATGAAGATGTACAGAAGGTAGGCTACGAGCATAGGAATATGTGCTATCCCATGTTTGACTTCGGTCATTCGAGGGTCGACTCAAGTGTGTACTTCGGCTGGTTTTCTGACAAAATGCCAATCGTGAGGCTCCAGCTCTAAGATCCTGGATTGAGAGAGCTCGCCTGCCAGATGCATGAATACTCACCTTCGGGTGCAACAATTCTCCTAAAGTCTCTCCTGCCTGAGTGCTGAAAGATGTCGGGACAGTGTCTACTTGTGCTGCCAAATGCGACATCCACTACTCAACAACAAGGGACTACTCGTGTCTCCGACGCTCTACAACACGTGACGCCTTGTGTCTTCGACTCTACAATTACGACAAGTGACTACGACTCTACACTTTGTGATCCCAGTGCTTCGCAGCCATCAAGAAACGGGCAGAGTCGGGAGTGCGGCTTTGCCTGCGAACTCCCACGCTGACCATTTCATCATCCTATGACGTTAAGTGCCTCCGTTCTCTCTCTCCCTCCCCTTCCCTTTCTCTCGCTCCCTAATCCTTTACCCTACATGCCACGTGAAGATGCTGTGCTACCCCTTCAAGGGGCAGCTGTGTGTGTGTATCCCTGAAGCCAAGGGCAACGATGCATATTGGAAAAACCAGAGGGGCAGCGTGAAGCATGTTGTTCGCTGCACCATGTTTCAGTGATATGAAGAAGGGACGCCTTTTTCACGTACCTGCATTTTTTCAGTGTGTGACATGGGGCCAAGCGCCAGGAACCCCAGTATGAAGATGTACAGAAGGCAGGCTACGAGCATAGGAATATGTGCTATCCCATGTTTGACTTCGGTCATTCGAGGGTCGACTCAAGTGTGTACTTCGGCTGGTTTTCTGACAACGTGCCAATCGTGAGGCTCCAGCTCTAAGATCCTGGATTGAGAGAGCTCGCTGGCCAGACGCATGAATACTCACCTTCGGGTGCAACAATTCTCCAACAGTCTCTCCTGCCTGAATGCTGAAAGATGTCGGGACAGTGTCTACTTGTGCTCCCAAATGGACATCCACCAATCCGAGGACTAGACTAGTCGGGGCCCCCCCCACCAGAATTAAAATTGAGGGCATCGCATTGATAGAACGCCGTCTCTTGGGTGTTTGGGGCTCTTTGGACTCTATTAAACACAGTAGGAATGTCAACAAAAGCAAAGACTGCAAGAGCAGCCGGGCCCGGCCTGGGGGCTGGCTATAAATGTGGTACCTTTTTATAAACCTGGTCCGAGCAGGCACCATAAGGCATAGCTTAGGACAGAATGAAAAATGGCTTCCTTTTATGAGCGAAAGAAAAGAAGCCTAGCTTTCTGAGGGGCTTGAGCATCTGTAAAAAGTTTGGCTTTGAAACCGATGCAGGCTGCAGATCCCTGAGGCAGCTTAGCTCTGTAGAATCGCCTTGCTGCAGCAAGGAATTGCAGACTACAGATTTCGAAGAAGATCTCGATGCAGATTGGTCTCACAGCAGTGCAGTGAGTAAGTCTGAAGCTTGCACTCTCTGAATTTCTAGATCTCCAAAATTGTTTCTTTAAATGTGGTACGCTTTCCCCATACGAAATCCATTCGCCTTGTAAACTCCTCTTCAGACCCAATTCCGGCCCGAAACATTTTCTTTAAAGGTGAAAACCCTTTTTAAAATCAAGTCCTCGGATTGCTCAACAACAAGTGACTACTCGTGTCTCCGACTCTACAACATGTGATGCCTTGTGTCTTCGACTCTACAATTACGACAAGTGACTACGACTCTACACTTTGTGATCCCAGTGCTTCGCAGCCATCAAGAAACGGGCAGAGTCGGGAGTGCGGCTTTGCCTGCGAGCTCCCACAGTGACAATTTCATCATCCTGTGACTTTTAAGTGCCTCTGTTCTCTCTCTCCCTCCCCTTCCCATTTTCTTTCTCCCTAATCTTTTTACCCTAAACGCAGGGTGAAGATGCTGTGCTACCCCTTCAAGCGGCAGCTGTGTGTGTGTGTGTGTACACCCTGAAGCCAAGGGCAACGATGCATATTGGAAAAACCAGGGGGGCAGCGTGAAGCATGTTTTTCGCTGCCCAACGAAGACGGCAACATGTTTCAGTGATATGAAGAAGGGATGCCTTCTTCACGTACCTGCAATTTTCAGTGTGTGGCATGGGGCCAAGCCAAGAACCCCAGTATGACGATTACAGAAAGTAGGCTACGAGCATAGGAATATGTGCTATCCCATGTTTGACTTCGGTCATTCGAGGATCAAATCAACTAATTAAGCGTGTGTGTGTGTGTGTGCGTGTGCGTGTGCGTGAGATGCCGTGGACACTGTTTGCAAAGATTCTACGAAGTACTTACTGCGGCTAGCCGGAGCTTTTGGCAGGTGAGTGCGGAAATCTACGCACGCTTCGGAAGTAAGATATTCCCGGCTCACTCCAAGCAAGAACTGTGGCTTGCCTCAGTCAAAAATCACGTCAGCCATCTCCTGCGCATACGCATGATTACTGACGTTTTGCTGCAAAGGTTGGGAGTTTTTCTCAAGGAGTACAACTCAGCTCGTGGCTTATAGCCGAAACGGAAGCGGGTGCTTCAAGTCTGGGCTGGATTTTATCTTGGCATTCTCAACTATAGGCCGGAGGTGTCTTTGAGGCTGGCAAGTGGAAGCAGTGTCAGGTGCACTTCTGGTTTCTCGCTTGCAGGACCGAGATTCTGCTGACAGTAAGAGTTATGCGCAGCCCCCGTGCAGGTGCTCGTCACCATTCCACACATCCTCGAGATGCTGCTTCTGTCAGCAGAGAACCAGGACAGGATTGCACACCAGCGGAAGCTAAGCAAACCTGGGTGGTGGTCAGGACTGGGTGGCTCGACTGCGGTACGTAGTCTTCGATGAGGTGACGACGATGCACCACTAGACATTCCGGCAGCAGCATGTCATCGGGATTCTTGACAGGTGCACTGCATCGGGGAGCAAGAAGGTGGAGAACAGTGGGAGCATTGCATGCAGGTGCACGATGCACAGACTGGGGCAATAAGCATCACGAATGTTCACTGCTGAGCCGTGACTGCCCTGCAGTTGATTCCATGCCCCTTCATCGCCCTCAGCGCAACGGTGTCCGATCCGAGCTTCTTTCTCAATTGGCTGAGCCCGTCCCCTAACCTATTGCAAACGAAGGTCTATCCGATTAAGGATGGCGGCAGATATTGGATGTGGCATACAACCGTCTTGCGTCCTTTTCCGAATTGAGGCAGGGTAAATGAGCTGAAGAAGACCTCCAAGGACACCCTTTCGGCGCTTCTCCCTCTCTCTCTCTCTCTCTCTCTCTCTCTCTCTCTCCCTCTCTCGTTCGGTTGACTACAGACTTATCGGAGCGAGGTAAGCATTGTGGAGCATCGTGAGCGATGGAATGAAGCACGGCAGCATCGATTAGCAACATATGTGCGTGTGTGAGATACTCCCTGCTGTCGACTTCTAGCTGAGGATCTTTACAAATATGTTTGGGTCGGAGGAAAGCTGAGGCCATGCCGCAGACTTCACAAAGCCTTGCGGGGGGGGGTTGCCTAGAGCGCCTCGGCTCGAGGCCGCTGCACCCTTTCTGCTGCTTCGTGGAGAGCTCGCTGCGCCGAAACGGAATGTCCTCCGACCTGAGCCTCGTACCAAGGGCTCGGCTCTCGGCTCTCACTCAGCTTTACTCCGCTTTACTCCGTTCTCCGGGAGGAGATGGTGCAACTACACCAAGAGGCCGGTTGCTGTAGGCTATCTCCGTGGCAGACCTTCGGCGATGTGTACAAAGGCTTGTGGCTGAGTGCCGGAGGATTTGCAAAGCCGAGGTCCAAAGAATCATCGGCGTGAACGACAAATGGGACAGGCCTGCGCAGAACGAACTCCTGTGGAGCAGCAAGTCGCTTGGTTTGCAGGCTGTCTCCTGCAAAATACTTTGCGGGTCAAGCGCAGCATCCTCAGAAACTGAGAGCCGTACGAAGTAGAAACGCTGCATTTCTGCTGAGGTTTGCTACGAAGATCGATGCGAGAGGGTATGAGAGGGAGTTAAAGGACGGTCACATGACATGCAAGCTGGTGCAACACAGAACGTTCGGTTGGACATGGGCACGAATCATAGAAGTCGCAGGAAACGTTCTTGCAGCTGCTTCACGATGATGTCGGCCTGGCATGGCTTCTGCACAGTGTGATGGTATGGCCGCTCTTCTGTTATCAGACATCTTTCAAGCAGATACGACAGAGACACAGACAATTCTAAAACAGCAGTTTGCATGCAGTGGGGCTCTGAGCCCGCGGGCAATGATGTGGCCTCAAGCCGTATGTTTCAGATTGAATGCTGTGTTTACAGGAGTTCTCGACCAAGATGCGCTCAGAACCAGTCAGACATATCAGCATCGGCACAGTTGGCAGCTGCAGAGTGGTTTTGGCATGTGACAGCCTGTGGCAGGCACTCGGGAACGAGGTGGGGCTGGTGTAGACTCGCAGTCTAACTCGGTACCGTACCGCGTCTCGCTGCTGCAGGGCTTCTCGAAGCTGACCATGGCCCTGCAGCAGCCCGCAGGGCTCGAAAGTTTGAGAGCCCAGAACTTGCCTTGCTCGCCTCGGTTGTACGGTAGTGTGGGCAAGGCTTCAAGCCACCACCTCGGACTGAGAGCGACAGCGAGGCAAGCGGGCACCAGTTTTTTTGCGCTGGATGGGTTGCTTTCACCACCACGGCTGCCGCGATGCCGCATTCGGCTGGCCAGCAGTCTCACTGGGAAGGTTGACCTCACGAAGTTGGTGAAGGAAACGTCCTACCTGCAGGCATTGAAATGTGTGATTTGTTGGGTCTAACACAGCTTTTGCTGCTCTGCAAGGCGGCGACCCTTTTCAAGCTTTGCAAGGATCTTGACGAGAAAGATATCATGCCAGCGATCATCTTCAATTTCTCCAGGCCTCTTGTGTTGGACATCGACGAAATGGATGTGAGGGCCAATTGGAGTCCGCTTCATCTGGAAAGCCAGGAAAGAGCTCGAACGAATGCTCAATAAGCTCGTTCACGAGCTGGAGAGACTCCAATACAACAAGTGCGCTAGTTTACGACCAGACACCATTGCTGTGAAACCGATGTTGTTGAGGTACTGGGGTGATGAGGAGGCGAAGATCAGAACCAGAAAGATCAATGACAAGTCTGGGCCGAAGCTAATCAAGCTCGCTTCAGCCAGTGCCGTGTGTTCGAATCGAGCCCGGGTTCCTTGCACCATGTCGCTACGTGGCCACCTGTTTAGGGTGCCGAACTAGCCTATTCCTGCTACATTTAATTCTGCTTTAACCCGAGCTTTCCTGTCAAGCCTGAACCCGGTCTAGACGCACGTCTACATACTGGTGCTTGTGAGGAGCCGCAGCATGCTGATTTGGCAGGAAAATAAGCATCATGGGAAAGACAAGGTTGCAGCAAACATGGAAGATGTAAGTCACACCCTGGGAAACCAGCGAACAATCAGAAAATACCTATTCATGTAGGAGGAATGCAGCCCATCAAAACGCTACACTTTCAGCTAGGGAATGTTGTAAATGCGGAGAAACAAGGGCAAGGTGTGAACACACAAGGACAAAGACCTTTCACATTACTTCTCCAGATTGTTTTAAGTTAAAGTGGTGCAGAGCATCGAGTCCACTACTTCAGAGCTGCAGGGCGGGCAAGCTTCTGCACAGTGCGCTTTGTTGCTTCATTCTAGGTTGCAGTACGAGGTCGGTTGACGTAAACCACTGCTACATCGGAAGAAAATTGGCTCCCGTTCCTCACTACCGCTGTTGATCTCCGCGGCACACATCACGTCTCACTTCGCTTCCTTATCTGCAATGCCTGCTGCACTCGGACTCGAGGCCATAGAAAACACACTGAACCCGAGCTCGTGTTTTCTCACTTTGAATGCAAAACTGTAGGTTGGTTGGGTAAGGCCATTTTTGCAAGCATGAACTGTTGCTGCATGAGCTGATTTCTGTTTGTTCCCGTGGCCGATGAACGCTGCTCTGGATGATCTTCTGCAGGCACATGCCTGGGTTCTGGCAGCAGCTCTTGTCTTTGTGGGTTGGACGACGTCGCTAGGGTCAATCGTGAGGACCTTCTTCTCATGCAGAACATTTATCTTGCTTGCTGTGCTCGGGCTCATCTTGAACACAGCTTTGCAGGCCCTCTGGTTGTCGGTGCGAGAGATCCCACGACAAGGCCCGTCACCTGTGGCGGCTGCTGCAGTACTTCCGGCAAAGCGAGCTAAGATGTTGATGCCATGGCGACAGACCTCTGCTCCGGTGGAACCTGCAATGGCTCCAGGGCCCATGCCAGAAAGGATCGCGCAGGCCGCAGGCCAAGGGCAAGCCCGGATGACGAGGGTTGGGGCCTCGCTATGGTCTTTGCCAGCAGGTGCAGTTTGAGGCATCTTGGACAGGTCACATCTTCCCTATGCCGGTGGCTAAAGCATGCCTCTGCAGAGGGCATGATGCCTTCTTCAGACCCAACACTCAAGTGGGACTGGTGGTGGACGAGGTGGAGTACCGACTTCCGAGACACTCGGACGGGAGGAACTCCTGGAGCCATGGTTTTGGATGCCATCCAGCTTCGTCTGTCCGGGGTGATTCTCCCAGGCAATGCCAAGGATCCAGTATTGGGCGAGAGCCTTTCTGCTTCGCCTAGGAATTCGTATTCAGAGGCGGCTATCCCTGGATCCAAGCTCCTTTCGTCAATCGGCAGATTGGGTTCCGGGAATAGACTGTAGGACGAGCTCCTCGGGTTTTGGGCAGAGCTCTCACCGGTGGGAGCGGGTCTGTTAGCCCCTCCCGTTTCAGCAAGATGTTTTCGGCACAGGGTTCTACGATGGGTCCCATGGATCTTGGAAACGACACGGCATTTCCTCCCTTGGCACGAGAGCAGGTAAAGATGGCTACTGTGTTTGCAAAGATGTGAAGATCATCAGAGAGCAACCGCGTAGATTCAGAGGCCGCCCGGCCTTCGCAACCTCCCTGAGCCAGGGCTCTAGGCTTCATTTGGAGTTCTCACCAAAACAGCTTCACAGGGGTCAGAGGTGGGCTCGGCTTGCGACTCACAAGCCGGGTCCAGAACCCTCACAACACCTTGATCATGAATCTGGCGTGGTGGTTCGGAGGAGCACGAGCACATCCTCGGCAAAGGGAGAGTAGACCAAGCCGGCACAGAACCAGCATCCGCCAACTGTTGAAGTCCATACGCCCCCAAATCGATGAGTGCCTCAGCATCGATGCTTGCTTGCAATGATGCTCGCAGGGCTGTATGCATTCTTCGGCACGGCAGAGGCAGAGGTGGATGCCTTCAGCCCGCTCGACAGTGTCCCGCAGACCTTGGGCACTGACGCCAAGGACCCGTCCAGGTTTGACCCAAAGGCCGTGGCGGTCTACTCGAGTCCTCTGGGTCCGGACAGGTTGAATGCACCCTCACTCGGGCCGAAGACTCGAGAACCAGATCGTGGGGGTTTCGGCCAGCCCCCCTAGCTCGGACGTGACGCTGGTACTAGGTGCCGGCGGGTGTGGCAGGTGGACCGCGCGCAGTAACTCGAATGGGCGGGCGAGACTAGCAGGTGCTGGACGGCTGGATCCAATCCACTCCTTGACCGGGACGGTGGTGTCCACTCCGACAGCAGCAAAAACCACACCAGCACCATCTTTTGAGGGCAGTCATGGGAACACCAGGATGAACATTGCGCAGCCACAGGCCAGTACCTTGCAAAGCAGAGCACCCCATCTTGCCCACAAAGTAGAGTGCCATCCCCCATATGTCCGCAACGAGTCCGGAGTGGAGAAGACGGAGATGTTGGCTCAACCGAGCAGAATAATGAGAACTTCAAAGTTCTACTCGCCCCAGCGTACTGAGGTGGATTCGGAGAGGTTTGGCAACCAACTCTCAACGAGGGTCGCGGGGCCACCAAACACTGACCTGTGACGGCCGCTACCGATCTCACCATTGTGGCGCGGTCCCTGATACCGAACACACAGTGACCGAAAGATCTCAAGGCATTCAACATACTCGTTCGCATGACAGTTGTTTCTTCTACCGAGCAAGATGACTTGTCGGATAAGTCTTTTTTTTTTTATAATTTCGTCTCTTGACGGAAGACTGCAGCTGGACACAAAACTTTCACTCGACCTGAGCATCTCCCTGGGACTCTGCGCGCGGAAGGACCCGGAAGGGCTGCCAAATTTCGTTGCTCCGCGGAAGGGCGCGGAAGCAACAACTACGTAAGCGGGGGTGCCAGAAGAATACGTCAGTCGAACGTGTTGAGTTCGTCAGGGATTCTGATGTCTCCCAGGTGGGCCTTCACTTGATGTTTTCGTTGGTGGCCAGCCCTACCCAACCTCGCAAGTGCCTTTGGGCAACTCCCGACAGATGTTGTCTGGGTACCTCGGTCAACGTGGCAAAGCCTCGTGGCATACAGTCTTGGCATCCTGCAGCCCGTGTGTTAGCATGTACACGGATGCGTTCTTCGAGTATGACTGGCTCACTGCTTCTCGGCTGGGTGGTGTTCGCGGGCCCGCCTTTCAGACCACATGGCGGCAGGTGCACAGTGCTCCAGGCAATTGTCCCGCAATGGGAACCTTGGAGGCAGCAGATCTCCTGGAGAGGCTCTTTGTCTCTTGGTGCTGCCTCTCCTGCATTCGCATCTCCTAAATTTCAGCGCTGCAGCCACTCTTTCTTTCTCTCTCTGATACGTCATAGTGTCATAGTTCGTTGTTCGTTGTGGCACAGCCCAGCCTAAGTTTACTCTGAACATGAGTTCACTTTTGCCT